TTTTATATGGCTATAGATAGCTTGGATTTCTTTCCTTGAGAACTACTTGTTCATTATCTTTTGGCCATTTGTTAGTTGGGGAATGGCTTTTACTATAAATTTGAATCAGTTCCTTACATATCTTGCAAATGAATAGTTTTTGTCAAATAATGAGTTCTTACACTAATACCTGGAATGTCTTTGGATTTAATGAACATTTGGTTACTAGGTTTGTTTGCTTTATTGTACACCCAATCTGTAGCATAGATCAACCACTCTTTTTTAACCAGTACCAAATTGTTTTGGGGCTTATGACTTTGAAGTATGGTTTGAGATCTGCTACTGCCAAACCCTCTTCCTTTCCAGTTTTTCCATTATTACTCTTAAGATTCTTGACCTTCTGTTCCTCCAGATAAGTATTGTTATTTTTTTCTAACTGCAAAATAATCTTTTATCAGATTGATTAATATGACACTGAATAAGTAAATTAGTTTAGGTAGTATAATTTTTGTTATATTTATTTTATATCTTACAACCTTAATGAATTATTGTTTCAATTAATTTTAGTTGATTCTCTTCAGTTTTCTAAGTGCACCATCATATCATCTGCAGAAAGCAATAATTTTGTCTCTTCTTATGCCCTCAGTTTCTTTTTCTTGTTGTATTGCTGTAGCTGAACATTTCTAGAACTATATCTAATAGTAGTTTGGACAATGGACAGTATTTCTTTGTCCTTATATTATTGGAAAGGATGCTATTTTATCCTCATTGCAAATTCTGTGCATTGGTTTTAGATATATATGATTTGATACAAAAAATTCCATTTATTTTGGTGTTTGCAATTTATTCCTGTTAATTCAGTGGGGGTTTGTTTTCAGTTTTGTGAATCCCATTTTTTATTTTTAGGATCTCTATTTTTGTTTTTAGTTGGAGTTTTTAGTTGTTGGGTTTCTAGTTGTTGCAGGATCTCCAAAGTATGCCTGAAGTTTTAGACATTCAGACCCTTGATCCTGGGGTGGTTATTAACCCCTTGGGGTCCCTACTTGCAAAGGTAAGTTTGGTGAGAAAGTAGACCCAGAGGAGACACTTCTTTCACTTTGTATTGATTTTATATTTATCTATTTATATGTTGTTTTGTCCCTGTAGAACAAAATTTGAGGACAGATACTGTTTCATTTGTCTTTCCATCCTCAGTGCCTAATACATCAAGTAGTATATAGTAAGCACTTAATAAATGTTTATTGATTGATCCCACTCTTGACAAATGTCTTCTGCAGTGATGTAATTAGGTGAACAAAATGTATTTTTTCTTTCTGCACAATATATTTGTGTTTGTTGAAGCATTTGTTACCCAGTAAAGCAACTACTTGTCATTTGTGCTAAAATTAGGATCATCTGTGAGATGACATAAGTAATTGAAGTCTACTCTCTCCCAGTATTACATTTTAAACATTTTTCCTTTCTCCCCACTGGAATTATTCACAATCAGCAAATGAACCAATATGAATCTCATCACTTGTATTAATAACCATAATGAAAGATTTGGTGGTAGAGGTAACAGCTGACAATTAGAGAGCAAGAAAAAAAAATGGCATGGATAATTCAAATACTAACTAATCAGCTACTGAATAATAGTAGGCTGGAGATTTTTTTTAATGGCTCAGAGCCCTTAGAACAGTGGTATCCCAGTTTCAAAATAGCCATTTTCTGTATTGCCTTATTTTTAGCCTGTTCTTTTGTTACATCTACATTATAATCCACTTCTCTGATTTTCTATTACTGGTTTTGTAATTATATTTTGCTTTTGACATTATGTTGCCTTTTCCCTGTCATCCATATTAATGATAAGCTATTTACATAAGAATTCAGATCTCTCCAAATAAAGTTCTTAATTCCATCAAAAAACATAGCCTTCTCTATTAAATATAAATGTGATTTTAAAGCAACAGTTTACTTTGTTTCTGTGTCAGGCACATATATTCATAAATACTTTTTTTTTTAAGTACTCTGATGGACACTCTGATACTCTTTAAGAGTCCATCAGAATTAGTTCTCAAAAAAGAAATCAAAGCAAGTAACTGCTTTCTTGTCTTTAGGATTTTTGCATTTTTGTTCAGATATAGCAATCCAAATTCAAATTGAAGAAGTGAATATTAGAAGTATGAATTGCCATATGATTTTGCCACTTAATTCTTAGGCTTAAGAATAAATATAAACTGAAGAATAAAAATAAAAGTGACTTAAGAGTTGACATAAAAGGAAAAGTATATTTAAAAAGCTATCCAAGAATGTTTTACCCTTTTTTTTTTTTTTTAACACAGGCAATGATATGGAAGAAGAGGTGCTAGATTTAGAGTTACAGGACCTGTGTTCAGATCTTAGCTCTGCTACTTATTAGATAGAGAGACAACACATTTACTAAGGCTTGCTCTGTGCCAGGCACTGTATCAAATGCTAGGGGATATAAATACGAGAAAACAAGAAGGTCCCTACTCTCAAGGAGTTTATAAGAAGGAAGGGAAGCTGGAAAACAAGGTGGGAGGTAGGAGCAGATACAGAACTGAGGAGGTGGAACAGTCTGGAAAGTGGGATGAGCAGGGAGTGAAGTGACCATAGCTGGGCCCCTCCAGGTTATGGTGATCATGTCACCCTTGAGGTCACCTCAATTCCCCTAAAGAGCAGACCTCAAGGTGGAAGCATCTTGAAGTGGGAGAGGCAGCCTAGGACTCAGGGAGCAGTCCAGAGAATAACTTGAATTACTACTCTCAGTGTAAACCTTTATCTCAGTGTAAACAGTTATCTTAACTCCTTTAGGCCTCAGTTCCTTATCTGTAAGATGAGAAGATTAGACTAGATAACTTTCAAGATCTTTTCCGGCTCTAAATCTAGAATCCTGTGATTCCAAATTATTACATTAAAAAGCTAGTGGAAGGACTATGTTTTACTCTATTTAGGACCTTACTCATGATCTTGATGTTTTGTCCATAAGGAACATATTTCACCCAGTGCTCAGCACCATGATCTAAACTTTGTAAATTTTGTAAATTATTAATGTTATTAAATTGAATGAATGAGGGAGATGGGCCAAATGTAATAAAAAGACACAAAAATACATATATATGTATGTATAAAACTTACTCTAGCTATAAAATATGTATTTTCTATAATCATATTTCTTTTATCACTTCCAAGGTGATAACTGTAAATGTTAACTATCCTTACTTCAATATCTTAATATAATCATTAGCTTATCAGTTTGTTTATTCCCTCTACCAGGGTTGACCCCAGCCCATCCACACCTTCTTATTGTCCATGCATTTCTGTAAATCCTATATGAAAGAACAATCCTTATCACAAGAGCCCACTCTCAAAGTCTGTCCATATGCTAGCCATCAGTCTTGGGAGTCCCGAGTGTCATGGTTCTGCAGTTTTCATTAATGAGAATAAAATCCTATTCCAGCTTTTCCCTTTCTGCCTCCCTACCATAACTGCCTCTCAAGGACTACTACATGAAAAGAATTGTGTTAGACTAGTTCTTTGCTTTGATACATTTTTTGCTTTTTGTGGGTTTTCTTTTAGGAGACAGCCAACTTGATGCTGTTGTAATCATATATAATGTCATCTTCTTGTCTTTATCCTTTCTTTTAATTTGCTCTTTTACTTGTACTTTCATTTTAACCAGTGTGACTGTGTATCTTCTTTTCTTAAACGACTCCCACATCTGTAACCAGACATTCCTTGTCTGCTAGCAAATGAAATTTATTATATTCTATGTTATTATTTAGTGTTTTCTGTGTCTAATACCTTCTGACTTGCTGAGAATGTATTCGTGATAGAAAATCGTGAGTCCACTGAGATGGCACTGAGCCTCTGGCATCTTTCATCTCTTAAATTTGAGTTATATTGTTTGCTCTCCTCTTCCATGTCCATCTTTGCATTAAACACATTTCAGACATATGTTGGCTTCGTTCAGAAAATCACGGAATCTTCCACATTCCAAGGGACCTCATAAGACATCTTGTCTAACTTGTGTTTCTAAAGGCTTGAGTTGCTTAGTCAAGATTTCATAATCCTTAATAATCTCAACAAAGTCTTTTTTCATCCATTTCTTTTCTTAATAGATCACTGTAGCATTCTCACTGAAAAAGCCCTGTCGTATTCAATGTGCGATTTTATCTACAAACCAGCAACATCGAGAGAACCCTACCATTTTTATAGACTTTGTGTAGGACATCATCTGCAACACAGGCAAACATCTTTAAGTGAATACCTCTGTACAGTGTAACTGACAAGTTGTCATCCAGTTTCTGCTTGAAGACTTCCAGGGAGGAGGGAACCCCCTGCCAAACCATTCCACTTGAAGCTATCTCCAATCACAAGGAAGTTTTTCCTCATATCAACTTTTTTAAAATTTTTGATTAATTTATTTTGAATCAACAATCACCTCCATAAGCTTTTGAGTTTTAAATTTTTCTCCACCTCCCTCCCCAAGATGGCACGCAATCTGATATAGGCTATACATATATATTACTATTAAACATATTTTCACATTAGTGATGTTGTAGGTAAGAATGGAACCAATAGGAGGAACCATCAGAAAGAGGAAACAAAATACAACAGAAGAAAAAAAATAGCAAATAGTATGCTTCGGTCTGCATTCAAACTCCATAGTTCTTTCTTTGGATGTGGGTAGCATTTTCCATCATGAGGCCTTTGGAGATGTTGTAGATCCTTGTATTGCTGAGAAGGATTAAGTCTATCAATATTAGTCATCACACAGCCAATCCAACCAAGATACAGAACTGGCTGGTATGTGCTTGCTATATAGTTTTGAATAGAATGCTACCTTGATGTTACATGTCACGTGTAATAATAATAAAATAATATGTAACAATCTTAATAAAATGTGACAATCATAAATTTTAGATTTGGGCAAACTAGTGTTTACCCAAAAGAATCAATCATTTGTCTGAATACTCATATTTCCAGTTGTTAATTTCTATTTTCTCTTCTTCCTACAGATAATGATGAATAAACCTGACTCAGGAATTTCTTTTGCCTTCTGCTATGGGAAATCATTGGAACTCTGCCCAGCAGAATAACAAGATTCAGTCAGAAATGTAGCAAAGACTCATTTTATAGAATAAGAATATCACTATTAAGATGGGCATGCTGATTGCATGAAGGAGCCAAGGAAACATACCATTTTAAACTTAAAATATTAGTGCTTTGCGTATTTTCTTTGTTCCTTGAGTTTAAAAGTTAGTTTCTGTTGAATCTGTGTTTGTGTGTCTATGTATGTCTATACAGAGATACATACATACTTCATGTCAAACCATCCAAAGCTTAACAGGAATGGGCCTGGGCCAGGAATGGTTTTAATGGTTTTAAAGAATATTTATCATGAAATAAGGTAGCATCAACTGTTGTAGTATGGATGAAAAACAGTGACCCATATTGTGAAAAACTTGACTGTCACATTACATTCAAGTATTACACTTTTTTTTCCCCTAGACTAAACTGCTAAAAGGCAGTTTTTGGTGTTTGTTGTTTTTTTATGAGCTAATACACTAAATTAAATAATCTTGTTAAGATCCCTCTCTGAATACTTAACATTTTTGAAGATGCAGTTTGTATCCTAATATATATTGTAACCCAACAGTATCACCCAAACCAACTTACTAGATAAAAATTGAGGCACTGTTCTAGAGATCATTAAAATTTTTGATTTGCAAAGGATAGATGGAAAATTTTATTCCTTGATGTTCAGAAAATACAACAGTTTCTTCCAGTTATGTTTTATTTGGTCTAGAACCTACAGAAGTACTTGGAAATTTGCCTGCTTTTGTAACATTGACCCAACATGTAGCTTAAAAGTAGCATCCCTCTTTGGTTTGCATCTCTTATCCACAGTTGCTATATAATGATTTACAAAGAAACAATGTTTCCAATCCCCAATTTTACTTCTGTATAAATAATTTCTTGCAATCAGCATCTCAGTGGGAAAAGATCATTTGATGGTTTCTTCTACTGCTTTTCATTACAAGAGGATCCAAGTTTCACAGAGTCAGGTAGTTTTTTTCTTTGAGATGATGGCGACACAGCACAATCTCTACCTGCAACAGGGCTAAGAATTAGATAGAAAATATCTGACATCCAGATAGAGAATGTTAACCTTTGAGCAAATGCAGCCTGACTGGCAAAAATCTCACTAGTTTAAAAATAAAAACAGTCTTCACAGCAGCACTATGTTGAAGTTATTATGTATATTATTTTTAACATTCAAAAATAAATAACTTGATTTTTGTATATTTCTTTACTTTTGTGAAGTTACTATTAAATTTTTTCTTACCTACCTGAAGAATGCCTGATGCTGTTTGTCTTCTCTTTATTGACACTATTCACAATATGCTTTTTCTAAAGAGCTAGGAACACTTTCTATGCCTCGTCTATAACATTACTGAATTGATACACATTTTCTTATTATACATACTGAAGTAATCTTTTTGGCATCGGGTAATTAGATTTTTTTTTTCTTTTTGCAAATGAGTTAGATGAGAACTTGAACTATATATTTCAATTGAACTACATATTTCGATTCTTTAAAATCCTGAAAGCTATGGATTATTTTGTGACTTCAAGTAGCTAAGTGGCTCAGTGGATGAAGTGCTGGGTCTGGAGTGAGGAAGACCTGAGTTCAAATCTCATCACCAACATTTACTAGCCATGTGACCCTGAGCAAGTCACTTAACCACCACCTACATTAGTTTCCTCAACTATAAAATAAGCATCATAATAACACCTGCCTTCCAGGTTATTGTGTGAGGATCAAATGAGAATATTTGTAAAGTACTTAGCATAATACAAAGCACATAGTAGGTGCTTAATAAATGCTTGCTTCATAGCTTCAGTTTAAAATTGCTCTTAACTAGAAATGTGTGTGCCTATAGTCCCTGCAGGAGCAGGGATACCAGTGAATTGCTTGAGTTTGGAAGAGTTCTGAGCTGCAGGAGAGAAAAAACCAATTGGGTGTCCACACCAAGTCTGGTGTCAGACTTGGTGTTGAGACCCTGGAAGCTGGGAACCACCAACCTTCCTGATGAGGGGCAAAACTCCCCAGGTCAGAAATGACAGGTCAGTGTTTTCAAGCTGATCAGTAATGAGGTTGGGCCCATGAATAACCATAGCACTTCCAGCCTGGTCAAGATATGGAGAGCTGGTCTCAAAAAATAAGATTGGCTCATGATTTTCAAATGATTATACAACTGTGTTTATAAAAGTAGGTTATTTCTTTGCATTTCACAGAATCAAGTGTACGCAACAACAACAAAAAAACAGTAAATGGAATGTCAAGTAATGTTAGCACTAGGGCCATATATCATTTAGTTCAAACTCCTCTTTTTCTAGAAAAGGAAATAGATCTGGGGCAGCTAGGTGGTGCACTGGATAAAGCACCAGCCCTGGAGTCAGGAGGACCTGAGTTCAAAGCCGGCCTCAAGACACATAACACTCACTAGCTGTGTGACTGTGGATAAGTCACTTAATCCCAACTGCCTTACCAAAAAAAGAAGAAATGATGAGGAAATAGATCCAAGGTCACACTACAAAAGGTCCTATCCTAGGACTCTTTCAACCACACTATATTGTTGGTATTAAAAGATTTTTTTTTTAAATTTAGCCTTTTGAATAAATGTATAGTATGGATATAATAAAAATTCCTCTTTGACAAAAAGTAACGAAACCTTACTGGGGATAAAGACTGGGCTTATGAATTCCTTGATACAGGGAACTCTCAGGTGAGTATACTCCTGTTACCAGTGCCTTCTCTGCAACCTAAAGTCTTAGTGTCTAAGATCACTGAGAGGTTATGTTGTCATATAGCCAAGTATGTGTCAGAGACAGGACTGAAATCCAGGTCTTCCTAGCTTTGAGACCAACTCTATCAACTATGCCATGCTGCCACTTAAAACCTTCACTAACAGGCTGATGGGAGGAAGGAACGATTTCTATTGGTGAGATGTCTAAATTAACATGCACCCTCCCCCTCTAAATTATATGTTCATAAATTCATATACTTACAACTAGAAGGGACCTCAAATCATCAAAGTCTAATCATTTCATTTGACAGATCAGGAAACTGAGGCTCAGAAAGGTTGAATTTGATTGAGTGATTTTAAGTATATAACATTTGATTGATTTGAATTTATAGTTTATTTACTATATCTGACTTAGTCCTGTTACTGATTCTAGAGTTAGGAAAAAACTGGCCTAAAATGTTGCCTCTGATATTTTAACCCAGGCTATTCTCCAAGATTTAAAGTAACAGAATTGCTGTTCTGCTTAAATAAATGTAGTTCTCTATGTGGACAGAATTAACAGGGCAAGAGACACCTTCCCCAAAAAGTTAATGTAAATGGCTAGTTCTAAAATGTTTGAAGATAATTTATGTATGTATTTTAAACAGCTTCTACAATGTTGTTTTGAAAAGAGAAAGTTATAACTCAGTCCCAATCCAAATTCATGGGTTTTACATGGTAGATGCTCAATAAATTTTCACACTGATGAGTATATACATCACTACCTTGTTGAATGAACTCACCCTCCTGTTTTGCTGAACTCACATTCCTTCTTCTGAAAATTAGAACATTTGCCTGTCTCTAGTTTTATAGCACCTCTTCTGTTCCAAGCTTTCTTTAAAAGAAACCAAGAGTCGTTTGTCTATCACATCTTTGCATCATATAACCATATTATATTATTACACAACCTCTCATTTAAAAAAAAGTACAATGTGACCTTGAAGAACAAAATTCTGTGCAACTAGTTCATCTAACAAAATTTAGTCAAAACTTCCTTTGAAAAAGCCTTTGGTCAACTCAAAAAGTAAATGCTACTAATCAAGTGTAATTATTACTTAAGAAATATAGTTCCAAGTTCTAGGCAGCAAATGGGAAACTGAAATATGAGTGGTTTGAGTCTGTCTCAATTTACCACATGGAGACAGGATCATGATGCAGAGGAAAGATTGTTAGGTTTAGGATTCAGAGGATCTCAATTTAAATCCAATTTGAATAATTTAGGGTTAAGATTATATCCACATGTATACATACACACACACACACACACACACGTGTGTGTGTGTGTGTGTGTCCAATGGCAGCCATCTTGGGGGGGAGAGAAAAAAAGGAAAAAAAGTATGTGATTATTGTAGATTTAAAAGGAATAGTAAGTTGTACATAAATTTGCAGTCTCAGGTGGAATAATCTTTTTTTAATTACACTATTATAGCAATTCTTGTTTTATTCCATAAGTTAAAAATAAAATAAAAAATTTTTAAATAAAATAAATTCAACCTCTGTCACTACTTATGGGACCTTGGGCAATCAAGGCCCAGTTTCCTCATCTGTAAAATGTAAGGGTTAGGCTAGACAGCCTAGTCTCATCCTAAAGTCCCTTTTAGCCATATAGCTATAATCCTCACAGAATTTACTATTGATATAAGAGCTTTATGAATTATACTCAAAGTGCATCTGTGTCAATGTGGACATTCCCTCCAGCAATATAGCTCACTAACCTAGTCATACCTGCCCATCCTATGCTACTCTTATTCATGTCCTCTCTTAAGTAACCCGACATTCTGGGAACCTTCCATTTTTTTTTTCTAACAATACAAAGATATCCATGGAGCACATGAGCTGTCCATTGGTAACCCCTCTCTCTTACCATGTAGCCAACCCATCATCTTTTAATCATAACATTTCTTTAATGACTTCTTTACTCTGGATCAAAAGCTATGTATAAATGAAAGCTATGATTATTTTTACATAGAGCTGTAAGCTATATAGCATAGATGCAATCCATATGAGAATCCTCTAAAATAGGGTTCTTATCCTAGAATTTGTACACCTTTTTCTTTGACATTTTGACAATTGTATTTCTATATTATTGGTTTCCTTTGTAATCCTAAGTATTTTTATTGTATGCAGTCAAAAACATTATTCTGAGAAGGGGTCCACAGGCTTCACCAGGCTCCAAAAGGGGTTCGTGACATATACCCAAAGTTAAGAAGCCCTACTCTAGAGAAAAGAAATGGGTAAGAAAGTTAGATTGGGGAAAAACAAATTGCAAGCGTGAAAGTATTGTATTTACTTAAGTAATTTTCCCCCATTAAGTACTTCCCTCCTACCACCACTCCTGCCACAAATTTAAAGGAGAAACTCAAGAAAAGTTTTTTTTATCTATAATAAGAGTTTTCCTCAACTCTTACCCCCCTCCCTGAAATAATTTTGTAGTTTTCAAAGACTTTCCTAAAAGGAATTCACTTCTTACTTGCCAAAACTGATTTAAGAGTCGAGCATACTGCTTTTTTGGCTCAGAGATGGGAAGGAAAAAGCAAGGCAGCCGAGAATCCTTAACTGTCATCAAGTAGCCTCATTTCATCTCTTGGTCTTTAAGGCTTTCTCCAACTTCCAAAGAACTAGGGTCACAGGATTACCGGACTAAAACAGTAAAGTGAACTACATAACCAGGAGGTGACTTGAACAGTGACTCTTTGGGCAGTTGTTTGAATAAGGAGGCAGAATAACAACAGTAATATTTATATAATGCTTTAAGGGTTTACAAATTGGTTTACACATATTATCTCATTTAATCTTCACATCAATCCTGAGAGACAGGCTCTATCATTATTCTCATCTTACAGATGAAGAAACAAAGGTCGAATGGTTAAGTAACTTTTCTACACAACTAGTTACACAACTAGTAAGTGTTTGAGGCTGGATTTGAATCCAGGTCTTCCTGAGGAGTAGACCTATATGGTAAAAAATATTTATAGTAGCAATTTTTGTTGTTTAGAGGCATAGCCTTCTCAATGAATCACTAACTTATACAGTCAACATTTCTTCAAGGGGTTTTGGGGACTTATAATGAGTAACAATATGGGAGAAGGGAGGAAGAAATTGATCAACTCATTAAAGTCAAGGAGGCAGTCCCCTTAGTAAGTAAATAGCAAAGGGGAAAAGTAAACAATAAATTGTCCATTTAAGACTCTGAAGTCCCATCTCATACAGCTGTGGGGGACATCATCTGATGAAGTTTTCTGGTCCGAGTGCTGTTCAAGCAGTCTCTAGCACAGCATCCTGTCAAGACTCGTTATAGAGAGAGATCCTCTTTCTTTGTTGAAATCTACTACAAAATTGATCTTTACACAATTTTAAATTACCTTGCCAATAACCAGGTCAAATAATGAAAGTTAACTCAAACCTTATGTCTCTATTATTATAAAATCAAAATTGGAACCATAGTCAATTGTCATGTTTAAGAAACTAAAAAAAAAGAGCCCCCACTGGCAGG